CAGTGTTTCTCTGTCCTGCTGAGAAAGAGCAGCTGCAATAGCGCACAGCAAGAGCACAGAGACAAAAAGACATGCTGTACAGTATATACATGAAAACCACAGTCATTAAGAGGATTGAAATGGCTATAAAAACATTAAAAAGCATTATAATGCTATAGTTCTCAGCCATGGTCCTGGGATACAACTGTCAGTCCTGGGTATTTCTTTAGACTTAATCACAAGATAATTGATTTTAATTTTCCATGTATAGTCTTTTGAGATGTTTCTCAACCCTTAAAAAACTGAACGTGCCTTGTTGACTTTCAGATTGCCCTCATTCGTGAGCAAAAACTCACAACCAATTGGATTTGCACAGAAGAAAAGACACCGACCCACTGCGAATGTGTTGAATTCATTATCGTTCCCACGGTTGGTGTGTCTGATCACCTGTTGAGGGCTGTTTAGTCAGACATAAGGAAGAGAATTCTTCATTTGAAATGAGTGAGCACGCTCGGGGGAAACTGCATGATAGTCTATAAAGTTCTGTGTCCTGAAGCAGTTTGAAAGACTTCCGAGTATTTTTGTTATCAAGGGTTGAGTGTAGAAAAACATCTAAAGAAGCAAGTCGATCTATTACAGCACCTATTAGCCCTGATGATTAACGGTCCACCTGCAGTAAAAAAACTAGCAGAGACAGGGGACTCTAGGACAATGATGATTTAGTTGTACTTAGAGCTCTTAAGGGGTTTAAGGGGTTTTTCTACAGAAGCTTAGGGAGAAACAAGTTCAATCTAATTTAAGGGTATTACAAAGTCTATTTCAATTTATCAAAAGAAATGAAGATACATTTACTAAGACAAAGTTTGTTGCAAAATTTATCATATTGCCTTTGACCCTTCAAAAACAGTGAACACAAACTGCACTTGTTTCTGGACTATTGTGACTTTGCAGTAAATATACAGGTAGTTGCCAGTTTCCATTGGTCATCACTACAGTATTTCCAATATTAAGTTACCAAACCGGGGTTAACTTTTCTATACGAGTGGTGTACTGTAATCCCCTCGACCCTTCCCCCTC